ATAGAATAGGAAACAAAAGTTATACCTTTTAACATAATATTCACAAAAAAACATTTTTCTTGCAAAAACTTTATTGGAATAATCGTTGCAACAAACTGATTTGTCACCCTTTTGATTTTCCACGACATATATGCTTTGTGGTGACGTTATATCAACAAATATCTTGTTACTACTTCATACTTTTTGCTTCAAACAAATAATGTTGTGAGTTTGTTAATGCGATGGATGAACGAAAGATGTCGCAGAATACATTCCTTGACTCATATAGCGGGACAAAGCCCGTAACAAACACATTCTTCTCGCGAAATTATTTTTACAACAAAATCTCTATTTAGGCGACAACAATGTTTTGTCGCTATTTCGGTATTTTGTTGTAGTGACCCCTTCACCGCCATCACTCACCCATCCATGCAAAGAGAATTACATGCATTGTTGTTACATTGTGTGTTTATTGTACTGTCACTTAATAAATCTGCAGCACCACGATCGACGATGCAATGTAAATTATCAAAATTTCATATCCCCACAATTAAAATAAACACCTATACTCCATTTGACCACCATTGCGATTACCACCAACAATATTACCTCGCACCACGGCCACGATCACAATCACACAATTTGCATGCAACACTACCACCTCAGTAGATAAGAAATCGAAAATTTTGATTTTTGTCTCTTTTTTTCCTTTTGCAGATTGTGGGAGAAGGTGGAATGCTTGGTTTCAAATTGACGTGGTGGTCGTGAAGATTGACGACGGCTAGGAAAGGGTTGGGTTGGGTTGGGTTGGGGGTTTGAAGATTTGGATGATTTGCAAATTTGTGAAATTTGATTGTGTTGGTGATAGAGGGAGGGAGAGTAGAAAATGTTAAAAGAGTTTTTTTTTTTTTTTGTTGGAGTACTAAGTCCCTCCCTATTTGTTGTAGATTAACGTTTTCCAAAAATTTAAAGTTATTGTCAACAGTTAATTTCAACCACACATTTTATGAAACTTACAATTTTTCAATGTACATTTCATCATTTTTTATTAAAACCTACTAAAATTTTAGTTTTAATCTACACCAAATAAGGGCATAACTTAAGATATTATGACATGCTCATTTGTCAATCTTGACAGATAAATTCATCGATCGAGGTGGATTAACGAGCTAAAAGGAGTTTCAATTGCGACTCGTATATATCAACGAATATGTTTTGATGAATATGTAATTTATTACATCGAGATTGATGCTTATCCGTATCAAATTGGATCGTATTAGATGAAGGGATTATTATTGTAATTGTGGATCAATGATAAATTAAAAGGAGTTTTTGATTATCGTATTCTGACCAAATCTGAATAAAAATACTAAATATATTTGTCATTGTGAATGGAAACCTAATGAGTCATAAGGTACTAACTGAAAATTTGGAATTGATATTGAACCTTGTCCATGTAAGAAATTGCAAGAAGAGGAAATTACAGGCAGCTAGGTATTTAAAATACCATTTTCACAAATTAGCTTTCCATTTTAACATTTCAAAATCAGGTTTTTTATATTTAATTTAATATTAATTTTATAATTTTCATCCCAATTAAAATAAAATAACTTAACCCTAGAATTCATTCCAAACTCTCCCGCCTCTACCCTCAGTCTCCCATTCTCTCCCCTTTTCTCTCTGTAGTCCGCCGCCGTCGACGACGCAGCAGTCCACCGTCGTCGACCCCGACGCTCCATCTCTCGTCTTCACTCTTCTCTAGTCTCTTTCTTCTGGACTCCACCGCCGACGCTGTAGTCCATCTATCTCTGTCGCTTCTTTTTTTTTTCTTTTTTCTTTTATTTTGTGTGGCTCGGTGGTTGCGGTGTTGGGATGTAGCGGTGGCTGGGGGTGTTCGTGCGGGGGTGCTGCAGATTTTGCGGTTGGGTGTGTAGGAGGAGCAGATCTGTTTTTGGTGGAGGTGTCGCGATTTTTGCGGTGTTGATGTATTTGTGGTTGCGGTGTGAAGGTTGTGTGTGCGTGCGTTGTGCGGTGGTGGTGATTGGGTTTTTGGGTTGTGTTTTCAGTTGTGGATGGGGACTGTGGGTGGTGGTGGTGGTGTTTGGGTAGCGGCGGTTATGTTAGATTTGGTGATGGACGGCGCAGTTAAGGTGGTGGTGGGACGGTTTGGTGTAGTAGTGGAGGTGGAGGTGGTTAGGTGTCATGTGGGTGAGGTGACTGTACGATTGTGGTGTGCTGTGGCGGTGGTGGTTTTGGAGGTGGTGGTCGTGGTCGTGGTGGTTTTGGAAGTGGTGGTCGTGGTGAAGTGGTGGTCACAAATTATTAGGTTGTTTGTGACCAAGAATTTAGTTAGTTTGTGATCAGTAAATAATATGTGACCAATGAATTAGATAAACGGTGACCAATAAATGCTTTGTGATTTAGAAATTATTAATTTGTGACCAATAATTTGATAAATTGTAACCTAAAATATAACATATGTTCAATTAAGGGGATGTTTGTGACTGTAAATAAGTATTGTGACTTACAAATTTTGTGAGTTGTGACCGATGAAAAAATTGTGACTTTCAAATTTTTAAATTGTGACCGATGAATAAATTGTGACTTATGAAAATTTTGAATTGTGACTAAATTGTATAGATCTGTGACCTTAACATATTCGCCGGAATCGGATCAGTCGTCGGAAAGGTCGCCGGAAGGTCGCCAGAATATCCCCGGAGTTGTGGGGGTGGTAGAGGTGGGGGTGGATTATTTATTTTATAGTAGAATTAAATATTAATAATAAATTAATTTAATAATTATTATTTCATAATTAAATTATAAATAAATTTTAATGAAAACTTGATTTTTGAAATTTAAAACTTTAAACCTTAATTTTGAAATGGTGATACTTAAATACTTTATTTATGTATTGTTCCCATTAATTAATTCTTAAACCCCAGGGTTATGACGTTACTAATCATAATGGGATAATTTTTTTAAAACCTATAAATAGATAATGTCTACGTTTGATAGGGGATTAAAATCTAAATTTTAATCTAAATCAAAATTAATAATTAATTTTAACCATATATTTCATGAGACCCACAATTTTTCTGTCATACATTTCATTAACTTTTATCAAAATATACTAAAATTTTTTTCTTAATCCCACCAAACAAGGTCGATGTATGTTTAGGTTTTTTATACTTATTTTTATTAATTGCTAGAACAAATAAAAATAGGTAAAAGCTGTGAAATGATGAATATACAGTCATATTTAAATAAAAAGTTAAAGAATTAATTGCAATCATAATTCTAATTTTTTTTCAAAAAGTGTAAACAAGTCCACAATAAATTATTTTAAAAATTTTAAAAAAAGTACAAACGAGTCATAATTAAATTTATTTAAAAATTAAAAAATACAAATGAGTCTCAAATAAATTATTAAGAAATTAGAAATTAAAACACAATTTTTATTTAAATATTATGGTATATTCGTCATTTCATAGTTTTTATTGAGAAATTGAATGAAATTGGATAAAAATGATGATTTGCGCAATTAAATGTGTAATTAAGGTGAAATGCCAAAAAAAAAAATGTAAGGTATGAACGTTTTTCGCAATAATGGTGAAAGATATGGATATTATGTACTAATTACCGCTTTAGTAATTTATTTTTGACTTATTTGCGCTTTTTAAAAAAATTTGGGACTGTGGTTGCAATTATTTTTTTTCCTTTTTCTTTTTATTTTATTTAAAGAGGGGTATATTCGTCATTTCATAATTTTTAATTGAGAAAATAGGTGAAAATGACCTTTTGCACAATGAAATATGAAAATAAGGGTGAAAATGCCAAAAAATGAAAGGTAAGGACTTTTTCACGATAACCATGAAGATGGAAATATTATGTGTTAATTACCCTATAAAAAATTATTAGGAAGATTACAATCGATAAATGGTTGCCAAACAAGGGCACTGCAATCCATATTGGGATAGCTAAAAAGTTACAAATATCTTTTGACATTATTGATCTTGGACTTGGGATTCATTGTTCCCATCAAGGCCACCGGACACGGCTCAAAGCCACTGAACAACCTGTGCAGTCAAATCTGATACTATCTGACTGTAAAAGACGATACAGTTATAGATTTATACATCTAAAGTGACATACAATTAGTACAATTTTTTCATTTGTACAGAAAATGGTTGACAGAAAAGGTTGACAACCTCTCACATGCGCGGGCCCCGAGTGAATAAAAAATTCCAAAAAAGTGGGCCCCCGTATTGTAAGTGTTTGGTCAACTTCTTCTGTCAATCATTTCGGTACAAATATCATGGTTGTAATTAGTATTATTACATAGTCGTATCCTTGTCAATTTAGAAATGCATCTACTTGCATAAAATGTGATGCATTTGGCCTTAAAAAAAATTGTGATGCATTTCTCAATACAATCGTGCTACATGTACATCATGTTTTACATCAAGTTTGACATCATGTGAGTTGACAGATTTTTTTACATCAATTTTAACAATACTTTTGTTAATCAATAGCTAGATTTCCTATACATACGAGGGATATCCCAGATGTTTTCAGCCACAAATGTACAAGAAGCATAATTCTTGTTAATAATATTAATATGAGTAAGCACATGAATACCTTAAATCACTCCAATAACCTATTTCTGCCGTCGCCTTCACGAGACCTTATTTTCAGCCCCCTTCCTCATATTCATGCATGAATTCTACGACTTTATGCTTCTTGGACCGATAAAAGTATCATTTTTCTGTTGACCTTCTCGTCCACACGCTCACGCACATATACAGACAAAGCCCTGTGATCAAACAGAGGTGATAACAGCACGTAATTCAGAAGCAACCAATGAATTTATATTCACGTAAACGCAGTCCCATAATCAAACGAGAATAGATTTCACTTCCATTCCATTTCTTGTTGTAATTTCTAAACTTTCAAGAAAATCTAGTATCATACCTGGTACCACTGTTTTGTTTCCTTGTACACTGCCATAGCCCATTTAGGCAATGCGTCGAACATGTTTGAGTGCACCGAATTCAGAGGACCATGGCATAATCCATACCATATTCTCGTACGATACTATCGTCATGTTAGCTGCGATTGTTTCTTTGCTTGTGGTAGTTCTCTTTGTTTTGTTGTTGCATATATATGCAAAATGGTTTTTGGCTCAAGCCCATCATAGAGGTGGGACATCTGTGCCGGTTCCGCAAGTATTGGGGGCTCGGTTTCATCATTTTCATACATTAACAGTTGATACGAATTACGCTATTTCTCCATCCAAGGGTCTTGAATCTTCTACCATTTCTTCAATTCCGCCATTCGCGTTCAAAGCAGAAGAACACAAACATGGTCTGCAATGTGTGATTTGTTTGAGTTTATTCGAAAACGAAGAAGTTGGGAGAAGATTACCAAAATGTGATCATGCATTTCATGTCGAATGCATTGATATGTGGCTCCATTCTCATACAACATGTCCAATTTGTCGAGCTCCCGTTGTATCTGACAGTGCAAATTCTGCAGATTCAAGTTCACCACAAAACGAAGAGATTCTGAATCAGGGGTTATCAGAGACAAATCTAAATGAATTGTGGATCAGCCATGCGGATACTACATTGGAAATTATAGTGGGAGATCCGAATTCAGAAATCGAAAATGTAGAGATAAATGATTCATCATCGTCCATCGGGAGCTCCCTGAAGAGAATGTTTAGCAGGAACAGATCTGAGCGGAAGTTTGATTTACCGAGCAACGGCAATGAATCAAATATTTGAATGTATGTATGTGGTTTGTTTTCTATACAGTTGCTTCTGTAGATGAACAGTTAAAATGAAGCGGAAAAAAGAAATCAGCGATTCATTTGTTAGCAAATGATTTTATTTTTATTTTTGTCCAAATATGATAATAACACCACTTTTCACAAATGATCAAAATTATCATAAAAAAATATTCTATGAATGTTATTAATGGCAACGGCATGATCGTGCTATCACAATCTTTATGGATCTCAAAATCTATCTGATTGAGTGGTTTGTCCATCTATGTATCACTTGCACACTAAAATATACTGTTAAAAGATCTTTTATTCCACAAAAATTTCGACTATCATTTGCACTCAAACGATCAAGTCAATTATCAAAGCGAAAAAGAATGAATACATGAGAGATGGGTGATAGGGGATTTGATTAGGGATATCTCCAATGTATATGGACTCTCCTATAGAGCGAGGGAAATGAGTCAAGATGGATTAATAGGTTAAGCTCGAACCCAAATTCAAGAAGAGGTTGCTTGATTTAATCAACCTAATTCAATTGACGTTCAAGTCAACTAATGTTGGATTCTCTCCGTCACGTGTATGTCAGGTAATTTATAGATATAATATACATAAATATAAACTTTGTTCTCGTTGATTGAAGTAAATATTCTACTTTATTCTTAGGCATTCGATGCCTATTTCTGCCCAACACATATGTCAGTCCAACATTGTAACCACTAATCACCATAATCAGATGGTGGAGAAACCTTGATGCCGAGCTCATGAAATGAGATCGAAGTTAATTCAAATTCTGTCAAATGTTATAGTCCAATATTCCACTTCGATTGAGGACTAATCGACTGTTTTTTACAATTTTGTAATCGAGATATAGTATCGATCCCAAGTCACAATGAGGGCCTTTCGATCATATAAATGACTAGTCTTCATATGCATAGAGAATGTGCCGAGTAAGCAATTGTGAAGTGCATTTCTATGCACCATGTAAGAAGCATTCATCCCACTTTGAAACCAAACCGAATAGTTTCATTTAAAACTAATGGTTCCATTTATAAGATTCTCATCCGTTCTCAATTTGGTTTGGTTTTCTTGAAACCGAGCTTTACTGTGCCTACCTCTAATTCCAAGGGAATCCGTTAGGGCAACGTTTCCATAAAAATGGGGGGTTTTTCCCATATCCACAGTAGTTTTCAATATGAAATTCTACCAATTGGTATGTTCCCACGAATTATTGACTATTTCTGGAAACAATTAAAAATTCTTCCCTTCACAAATTGCATAACATACACAGAAACAAAAGAAAACTCGTAAACAAAAAATCATCCACAAATTTCCAATATTTTGGTATTAAAAAACTGTTAAAAGGAGATTCCTTATTCGACCACACACCCATTTACAACCACACAGGAAACAGATCTCCCTGAGCGCTTCAAAATATTACATGAACACTAATTTACTTCCTTTTTACAGAGCCTGCATAATCATTCCATTAATTGTCCTGTTATACAGCCAGATTTGGACACTGAAATCTTCAGACAAGGCAGCTCTCACGTTGTGGTTTGGGCTGGTACTTGGTTCGCTGCTCAGACCAGTAAGCATGGGTGGTTAAGACCCTGTCTAGAAGCTCTTGAGGTACCGGCTCGCCTCTCCTTTGCTGAGGGGATATTCTTGCCGTGTGCACCAGTGTTTTCCACTTGTCCTGGAGAATTCAAATGTCACAAAACCAAGACACCAATAAATGCACTGGGTTAGGAAAATAATCAATTAATCTTTTACTATCCAACACGAGCACTAAGGTCTCAGGGATTGAGTCATCAGTTGATGCATAACATAATTATTACTAGGAAATTCATCCAGACTTCATTTCATAAATAGAGTCATTCGGACATCTAATTGTTTGCCTTTTAGACGGGTGATAATGCCTTAAAGTTGGACCATTTTGGCGGTTAAAAGTTAAGTAACCACCAAAGCGATTAAACCACCTAATTTAGCAAAAGTGGAAGAATAATGCTATTTGTACATAAAAGAGTAACATAATGATTTACATATAAATGGGGTGTCAAAAAGAGTGGAAAAGTTTTTTTTCTTTATTTGGGTAAAGAAATTCTGACACAATCATATCTCACCGCATCACATATATGTAAACCATTGTACATGTAGCACAACCGAAAGTGGAATGATGACCTAAGCTGAGACAAAAAGGGAAAAGGACAATACGAATATAAAAAGCAATGGAAAGCCAAAGAATTGAATGGAAGAAGAACGCATCAATTACTCACCTTCAAATCCACATAAGTTCTATGTTTCGCATTATCAAAGGCTCTCAGCTTAACATCACGCCATCTGAGGAAGAAAACCACCAGAGTTCAAAAGATTAAAGACAATGAACAAAATGAAAGAAAACAAAACAAATCCTGCAGCAGATAGAATATCATACATTCAGCCTTTTCAATTTTCATGCATCATTTTAACACTTTATGCCTTTTATAGCTACATCTCCGTTAGCATAGCTTGTTCAGCGGAAAGAAACCACCACTTTTCCTATAATTCCATATTTAGGTTTTTAAGGGAACATACCTTCCTGTACCAAGCTTCTCAACGGCCTGAACCAATGCTTCCACTTCAGACACAGTATAAGGCTTACGCATTCGACGCTGCGCTGACTCAGATTGCTTAGATTTGCGCATGGGAACAATAGCTAATGGCTCTCTCATTTCAGGAACAGCAACCAGTGCTCGTGAACCTGTAGGGGTTTTCTCTAATGACATATCAGGAGTGGAAGGAGCTGAATCATTATCGATTTCAGGGACATTCCTGATGTTACTTCCTGCAGAATCCGGAAGAGCATCCAAATTCCCCTGCTCAACAGCATCTTGAACCGCATTGGTAGTAGGAGGGCTCCTGGTGTCATGGCACAAGTAAAAGATTGTGAGACTTAGTATACAGAGTTTCACCCCCAACAGATATTATAACACAGCAAGAATACCTTGCTAGTGGTTGTGGATTATCCCGAGGAAGTTGGGAAGGATCTTCTGGACACAGTGTTGGGGAAGCTTGAGTAGGGTTGGGCTCCAGCGTAAAACCCAGAGCATCTGATTTGTTATCATGAGAAATTCCGGTTTGCAATAAAGTTCTGTTATCATCTTTAATCTTTTTACCCTGGAGAAGCATTCCAACACGTAGTCCATCACCGAGTATTGCAGTCACTGCTTTCATAACAGTCCTCTGAATAAAATTTAAAAGCAAGAAAATTATATGCTGTCAGGCGAAACTAGTTGAATACGAATCAAATTGACGTACAAAAAGCGGAGAGCAGAACACGACACTGGGTATACATCAACCACTGAGAATTTAAAAAATGTATATCTGAAATGTGGAAGGAAAATGCAATTCCAAGATAGAGGCAACAGCACCAAAAAATATTTCCCACCACTATAATGATGATGGCTACAAAAGCATATCTGAAAAGTCAAGATTTGTTGTTCTCATACCTTAAGAGAACCAACAGTTGCCGTTTCTGGAATCTCAATAAAAAGCTCAGGAACCCTAAAAGACTTGATCTTAAGCTTCACTGAGTGAAAGGAAAAACATCTCCACATGAGTACCTCTTTCAATGTCAGACACAGGTTTAATTATAAAAGTAAAAATGGAATTACTCTATCAAAGGTTCTCATACCATGGGAATTGGACTGGAAGGGAGAACATTCACCTGCTGCAGAAGTGGGAGTAGCATTCACTGCATTCGGCGTAATAATAATTAAAAAATTGTCGATTAGCTCCAGGAAAAATATAAAATATGCATCGAACGTGTGCGCTCGTGCGAGTGTGCATGCAAGACTGTAAATGAACCTCCAGGCCAAACAGAACCAGAGCTGCGGGCAACACCTTCGGAGTCATTATCTGGCAACCTACATGTTCCATCGCTGCTAACGAGTACATCAGAATTAGGTGTCGAGCTAAAGTAATAAAGCTTTCTTTTCTTGAAGGGGTAATCCTTCTGAGATATTTGGCGCTTATAGCGGTTCTTTGTGTTTGGAAAATTGCATCTCTTTTTATCTGAAGACATTGTTATAACATCAAATTAAATATATCATCCGGACTGCATGAACATATCTGGGCCACTTTTAAATTAAAGCAATTCACAAAATATCTTACTGGCATTGTAACCTTCTCCCTTCAGATTTTTAGTCGCTTTCAAATGCTTAGACACTAGCGACTTCCTAATTCTACAATCTCCACTACAAGGCAGAGACCTAACGGCCTTATTTGCATTTCTAGGTTGAGTGCGCCTAGAAGAGTTTTCATCATTATCTCTAGTAACTATCTTTATACCCTCTGAATTAAAGGGGAAAGAACCACAAGATATGTGGCCCCTGCAAGAGGGAAATTTTACACTATTAGGTGATCTAACTAATGCTGACTCTTTTCTTTCCCAAGTCTCTGGACTGCACATATCATCCCTACTACTTATTGACAAATTTCTAAAATCTTTGGACTCCATTTTTATCTGTTTTTCACTTTCACCCTCTAATCTACAACCTGTGGATACTCTGCAACCAGAAGACTGAACATCTAGTTTCTGAGTGATAATCCGGAGTCCAAGTTTGCATTCATCATCAGCAAATTGTTCTACACTACCATCCTTTCGAGAGTACTCCGATGTTATTACAGAAGCAGGCAATGAGAACGCATCATTTGGAAGAGATGTAAGTTCATTTGAACAAAAATTTGAAACGAGAACTTCTGGGACTTGCTCCGTAAGGAGAGTACTCTCATCACAGACGTTTAGATCACAAGGTTTTACTATTAGTGGTTTATCTGTGGCACGTTCTCCTTCTGTAATTGAATATTCCACAACTGCCTGCTGCTCTTCACCAGAAAACGTATCCAGGGGTTTTGGGGTAATTCCCCCCTCCATAAGTAACTCGTCAGCTACAGTAGCCAATAAGTCAAATGCACCCAACTGGTGGTCGTCATTTTTGCTTGGAAATATGCATCTCC